AATGTTTATAAACAATAACACCCACGCGGCGCGCTACTGTATCAGTTTACGTCACTCGATTGCAAATGTACATTCTGATTTCGCCGCGCGGCGTCCAAACTTTCGACGAAGATGGCAGGCAGAGGTAAGGCAGACGCATTTCGATGACGCAGACGGAGTTCATATTAGCCCGACCAGGCTGTGCGACGGATTGTCTATACAGGGTATTCTAACCCTAGCAATACCGTTTCTTGGAGCTAAGTTCATATATGATTTAAGGCGCATAAACGTTGTTCAAGTAAGTTTGCATGCAGAATTTCACTGTAAAATTTAAGTCTACACGATCACACAAGTACCATCAAACACAGTTCGCAGCTTTGTTAACAGTCAACAAATCCATGTTTAACCTCCTCTTGAGGGTCAAAAGGTTATCAGACACTTACTTTTCGCACGTCAGTGGAAAGCACATTTCATGGTCCTTTCAATAAAGCCATAAAAATGGTAGATCACCGCTGAAACAAAAATGTTTTTCAATCGCTCCGTCAGACCATGTCCTCAGAAAATGTCTAAAATCTGCCCTGTGCCCCATTGACCTTTGACCTGTGACCTCCAATTTCGGCCACAGTGATGGCTTTCCTACCATGATGCTATACATCGACTATCACGAGCCTAGATCGAGCCGTTTAGATTTGTGCCTGCAATTCTGCATTTTCCTCCCTATACCTTAAGTTAAGGAGGGAATGTTCCCCCTTCTTTTACACCTCTTGACCTTTGACCTTTGACCCTCACCTTCGACATCCCAACTCGTTTTCGGATTACCCCCCCACGTCCCGACTTTCGAATCCGTACGTCGAGCCGTTTAGGTTTGTGCCCAACTGTTGACGGACGCACGGACGCACGGCCGGACGCACGGCTGGACGGACGCACGCTCATGCGATTCTACAAGAGCTAATAAAAGTACACCATCACACTTCTAGAACCATTAGTACATGTATAATGTCCTAGACAAACCAATTTGCAGATCACCTCATGAAAACTGCAGAAACTTATAATACCAACATATCAGGATCGAGTGACTAAAAACGACTTTGATTTTATCCACTCCTGAACATTTCAACATTAGATGTATATCTTCATCTAACCTTGATGATATTAGGAGTAGATGATATACCACCGTTTCACTTACGGACTGAAGGGGGGGGGACAACGTTGTCTCTGTTAATGCTGTGAAAATGCAGTGCATACGTGAATGTCTCACAAGACACAAGACATGTCTCAAGACACAAGACACAAGACACAAGACACAAGACACAAGACACAAGACATTTGCACAAGACATGTCTCAGTCTACAGGGAAACCTCTGTCTACAGACACGTCTACAGAAACATGTCTCTGATACTCTGTATAGGTTTCACAAACGCATCCAATGGGTCTCAAGTAAATATCTCACGTTCGCCTCTCTCAGAGTTACCTCGGCCTTGCAATGGCTTCGCTACTTACTTGCAAACAGAGCTTCGGCATCCACCGATGCCGACGTTTCCATGACGCCCTTCTGGATCTCCATCTTTCGCAGCTGCAGGAACGTCTTTATGCTCTCGGCTCGCCGCATCCAGTGTTCGACCTGCCCGGCGCGATCGGTTACATTAAGTGCTGTGTCGACGCGAGAATTGTCTTGCGTCGGTCGAAATAACAAGCTTAAAGCTGCACAATGCGCATCCAAACGCTAATTTCTCCAGTACTAGACTAGCAAATACTTCGTGTCATGCATAATCACACTACCTTATGACAAAATAAACTCTAGTTCCTCCCATTTCACTGCGCGTTGTCTTATAAAAGGTATTTGAAAATACCTCCAATGTTGTTAAAATTCTCCGATGTTGTTGACAGTTTCCCCAAGCAACCGTGCAGCGGTGCTGCGGTACAGCGGTACGGGTGTAGCAAAGATAAAAACATGTGACGTCATCTCACCACTTCGAGGCTAAATTGTTTTGCAAACAGTCGGCGTTTGCGCCAGAATGCCAGTTTTCTCACCTCTTTCTTGTGGGTTTTAAGCAAACGCGCAGTGAAATGGGAGGAACTAGAGTTTATTTTGTCATAAGGTAGTGTGAGTATGAATGACACGAAGTATTTGCTAATCTATTACTGGAGAAATTAGCGTTTGGATACGCATTGTGCGGCTTTAATTTGGGAAGTTCGACTGGTTTCGATTAAATGCATGGCGCGAATTATCACGTTTTAATTTTATGCATGTCATTTTTGTTTGTGCGTTATTTTGTTGTTTTACGTTTTCGCGGATTTTGTGCGTTTAGTTTTTTTCTTTGTAAACTTTCGACAACTATCAACGGGTTTATCTGATATTTCTTGGTAAACTTACGGCAACTTTGACAGGTTTATATCGTATTTCGGGTACAAAAATATCCATACGCCGAGTGTGATAAAGAAAGTAGCCATTATTACTATGTTTACTACAACCAATGTTATGATTAATAACATAGCATTGTAACCCATACCATGTTTCTGTCAACAGTCTCTGAGAAAAACTTAATGTTAAGACAAATACTGAGACTAATTTGGTTTCTGACACTCGGACCCCTAGCCTTTATAACTACAACCATTATTATTACTAATATTATTATTATTATTATTATTAGGGTAATATGAGCTTCTCGATATCTCAGTCTGCTGCGTTGGTGCGAGTACTCACGAAGTAGCGTAGCACCTCCACCTCTCGGCCGCGAGCATGCTGCGTGAGGAGGGGAAGGACCGCACCCAGAGCCATCTCGTACTTCTCCAACGCTTCCTCGAACTTCTCGTGCTTGTCCTACACCCCGCACGACCCGCGCAGTTAGTAAAGCGAGAGATCGGAGTATAGCACGAGGCAAGCTGTATACACGCATGGATATGGAACGCTTTTTTTTTTACATGTAAGAGGCAGAAGAAATTTCGAGATACGGTACAGACAAGCGTTGGAAGTCGGCGTGGACAACGCAAAGTTAAACCCCTGACGTCTGCTCTCTGTATGGCAAAGACTGATGTGATTTCGAATAAGTCGGAATGAAAACGTGTTCAATTTCGTCAAACGAAAGTTATGGCGTCTGATCGAATCAGTAAATATAAAGTTGTATTGATTAAGAATTTCCGCTTCTGTGCAATCTGATGAATTGTACTGTGTGTTACTGGAATACCTAGTTTGAGAGCCACATGATATGATGAGTTAAACTTTAACCCCTGTCAAATAAGGACTGTAAAAATATCTGTTGTTCCGAAAGCCTGAATGAATATCTTCATAGAAATCTGTGAGAATTTCGGATCATATTTAAACAACTGTATAAACTGGGCATCCGCATAGAAACGATATGAGGATTCCATTTCTGCAAAATTCGGGTGTATCTTGCATGAAAGCTTCTCTAGATGGCGCCACAATGCAAGCCTGCTTGAGTGAAATAGTTATATGTCTCCTAATATGTAATATAACAATATTTAAATCTCCTCGTACACATTTTGATATATATATATATATATATAGGCTAGATAATTGCACTTGATTCTTACCAAATAAGCAGCAATGTCCACAACCTTCAGAGCTGCAGCTAACTTGTCACTCTGTACAGACAGCTCATCTGAAATATGCACAAAATTTGTATATATTGTAGATATATTGTAATTTGTATATATTTAATTGACCCTAAATATAATACAAAATTTTCACATTCACAGCTCAACGTCAGTAACGTATTCTCGATCCGCCACCAAAAATTCAAGTAGCTCCATTTCCACTGGAAATTATTAGTGTATTCTAAGCGTAATTCCAGTGGAAATTTACTAACATGTATAATCATCTCTACAAAACACGCTCTTTTACCCACATTCTCGACGATCCTTATCAAATAATTATTGTTGTTTTAGACAGCTATGAGATATTGAAAACTCTGCATACCGAGTTCATTTCTAGTTGGTACTTGACTGTTGCTTGCCACTTCTGTAGAGGACTGTCCCTGGGGTGCCAGCAAGCATTTCAGCTCTTCTGCTCTGTTCACATACTCCCGCACCTGTACGACACAAACGTCAATCATTCTACTTCGGTACAGGTTAATTAATGATAACATATTAAATTTGTAATAAATTCAATTATATAAGGTATGAACTTATTTTCAAGATTATCTTAATGGCGTCTTCGAGAAGACGAGTCAGACAGGCCACACCCTCGGTAGAGGTTTAATTCGGGCCCGGATCATCAAAACTAGGATGATGATGATGATGATGATGATGATTATCATACAGATAATAAGGGGTCATTGTCGTATCAGGTACTACATATATGTACCCGAGGTACATATATGTATACACAAAGTGTACCAGACTTGTACTACAGAAGTGTACCCTAACCTTAACCCTAACCCTAAACATACCACATATAAAAATATAATCATAATACTAAACAATCTAAAACTACCTCGGGTACATATATGTTGTACCTGATATGACAACGACCCTTTGTGCGATAATAAGGGGTGAATATGATGACAATTTTGTATATTCACCCCTGATAATAGCTGATGTGTAATAAAGTACTACAACTGCCAAAAGCTGTTACTAACACGTTACTGCTAAAGTAAAGATTGACTCAAATACAAACTATCATGATAATATCTCATATTTCTACGACAGACGTGCTGCATATTAACATACGTTTAATAGCGTTGCAGATATTATGATATTAGATGTCATGAGGTTATAGAATTATGAATCACTGCTGCCCTAAGCATTACCTTCATCCTAATGGCATCCTTCTTTTGCTTACTTATTTCAGCTAAAGAGAGAAAATAAACATCAGCTCACCATATATAAATAGAAAAACTGATTGACAGGATGAAAGAAAAGCGATAATTGGTTGGAAGGTCACGAAGGTGTCAAATTTGCAACTACACCATGCACGCCCACTGTGGCAATATGATGCCTATTTCATACAGGACTGTTTTTTTAATTATTATAATAAGTAATAGATCATGTTTAATATTCAAGCGATGTAATCAGTACAAGTGTTTCAATACATAAATTTCTCTCTCCAAACATCTAAAAAGCGAAGTTGCCAAGTCAATCAAAGAAGTATAAATTGAATTCTTATTCTTACAATTTTCCAGCATACCCTAACCATGACTCAGAGCTGCTCCAGATAGCTAAGGATATTTCTGGAAACAGACAGTCTACTCAACATCAGTTCTCCCCTCGAATTGTCGGGCAATAAATCAATAATGCTCATAGGGTCTATGCCCCCCAGGGTACTGCCGGAACGTACCCTGGGTACGGTCCGGTATACTGGAACGTACCCTGGTAACTATCTAGCTGATATGGTTAGGGTTAGGGTTAGGGTTAGGGTTAGGGTTGGGTTAGTGTTAGGGTTAGGGTGAGAGAGTAGGCATAGGCGACTCCCTAGACTCTTTAGTGAAGTAGGCGAGGTACGGTCCGGTATATTAGATAGTAGTATTTAGTACCAGGGTACGTTCCGGTATACCGGACCATACCCAGGGTATGTTCCGGCAGTACTCTAGGGGACATAGACCCTCTCAGCATCAATAACCTTAGGGTCACTACCTTGTATCGCTGGCACAAAATAGTCGAGTGATTGACAGTAGAGTTTCACAGCTTTCTCCACCTCCCCCTGCTGATCCTGCTTCACTGCCTTAGTGACTAGTTTGATCTGGAAGCAAGGGTGAAACAGAAATTAACTTTAAAAGTGATCAACATTGATTAATGACTTACCACGAAAGTGATTCAAGATTGTAGCAGGGTAAGTGGCTACCTCTACAAGATCAAGTTCATCGATAATTCGGTAATAATTATCTGTATTTATACCAGCACTCCAGTAATTCTCTTACTATATACCCAATTACTACAGCTACGGCATCTGTAAGAAAATGCAATTTTCAAAGAGTAAAACAAAAGGGGCTTAGCTTATCATAACTATTAATTTAGTTATCCGGTCAATTAAAATAGTTACCCACAAACTGTTTACCGTTTAAAACGCTGCACGACAAAAAAACAACGCGGTGTCAAACAAACAGTAAGCACTATGGCAGAAATGCCCGGGACACGAGTAAAGAGATTTAACCTACAGCTTTTGGCAGGCAGTCGGACGAGGGCATGTGCTCAAGGTCAATGAACGGATGATTGAAGAAGTCTTCGTAGCTGATCCGCTGATGTGGATCCCGCTGTAGCAGCCTAATGAGCAGATCTCTACACTCTGCAGAAATCTCAACGCCAAACGGCAGCTGAGCCAAACGTGGGTAGAATCTTCTGTTAATCTTTCAGATTCAACGTTCCTTCCTTTTTTCTGCCGTGTCTTACGTATCTAATATCGAAACTCCATGAAGTTATTTCGTATTCTAGCCATCAACGTACTCACTTCGATCGGACTTGGATCTTTTATCTTCTCGGCTAACTCCACCCATGACTTTGAGGCATAGGGAGCTCTCCCAAACAGCGCTTCTGCAGCAGGAAAATTCGTATGTATCTTATGATTAAATTTACTTCAATAATGTGCATTAGCAGAATATATATATATATATACATTTTATAGCCTGATGAAGAGAGATACTCTTGAAAGATTGCTAATTGAAATGTAACACTTTATTCTATTTTTCTACATTTATTTTCATATATATATATATATATATATATATATGTCATATATATAATCTCATATACGCACACATATATATTATTTATGGTATTTTATTATGGTCGGTATGGCTAACTGGTAATGTACCAAACAGGATGACTCCCACCGACCACAGGTCAACGCTGGCGTCGTATTTGTGCTGAAGGAGCATCTCGGGGGCCATGTAGAGCGGGGAGCCGCGCAGCGACTCCCCTACGCTCGAAGTCTCCAGCCACTGTGCAGCGAGACACACACGTACGTAAACCAAAAAAGACGCAGGCACGCATGACATACACAACCTGTTAGTTACCAGTTTGCTCATGCTGGACAGGCAATGGCATAAGTACACAGACACAGATTCAGATGTACGTAAACTGATACAGATACAGAAATGCACAACATAGGTAAGCCGTAAGGTAATCCGTTAGTTTACAGCTTTCTCATGGTGGCAAGGTAAGGACATAGGTCTACTTACACAGATACAGAAACACACGAGGCAGGCGATGTGTCACTTACCAGCTTGCTAATGCTGGCAAGGCAATGACATACGTACACAGACACAGACACAGATACGGAAATGCATAACGTAGGCAATCTGTTAGTTACCAGCTTGGTCGTGCCGGCAAGGCAAGGACACACGTACACAGACACATATACACACACACGCATGGCTCAGGCAATCCATTAGTTACCAGCTTCCTCAAGCTGGCAAGGCAAGGACATACGTAAATATCTAAAGGCACACGATCACACACGCGTAGTGGCATTTTTGGACATACTTATAAGCCTGCATTCACTATGTGCGGGGAATTTTATCAGGGTTGGCCGAGTGTAAAGTTGTAAATAAAGTCCAATCTAACTGCTTTTTCTTGCTTTTAAGATATTCGCACACATACACAGAGGAGTATCTGTCAATTTCCAACATGAACCTATTCAAAACACCAGCTGAAAGACACTGCAATCACTGCCAAGGGTAACCACAGGTGAGCTTCCTTCACGCACCTGTGCAAACCCAAAGTCGGCTAGCTTGAGGATGGGATCTTGGCGAGACTTCAGTAATATATTCTGAGGCTTCAGGTCCATGTGAGCAATATTCTTTACCCTCAGAAACTGGAGTGCCTTGGCTGGAATCCATGTAATGGCGTAGCGTCCACATAAAAAAATAAATAAATAAATAATCGAATAATATAAATATAAATTTTTGTTAAAGTATTATAACATGGTGACGGATGGAGTGAACACAATGGTGTGATTTCCCAGAAGTTACATCCCATATAACCCTAAATACTATCAATGCAAGACTTTCCTGAATATATGTGGCTTGCAGATGTGTTCTTGAATGCACCATGGTTTCCTGATGCATATTGATAGCAATGCTAAGCCATCAAGAGCGTACTGTATACGCAATATTTTTCGCGTACAGATATTTCCGCGAATTCAGACTTGGCGGACAATTTCGCGAGTGGTTAATTTCGCGGTGGGTGAATTATGAAATATTCTGATTATTCAGTATTATTCGGTATGAATTATTCGCGTGTTGTTATTTTCGCGGTCGGGGACGCGTTCGCAAAATTCGCCAAAATTAAACCACCGCGAAATATACAGCTTATACACTATTACAGTATTCCACTCTTACCTAGCTGCTGCAGAAATCGCTTAGCAAGCTTTTCCGATAGACATCTTGACAGCTTGATGAAGGCAGACAGGTCACCTCCACTGCAATACTCCATGATGAGAAATATGTGCTTGTCATCCCACTGTAATATATGCTGAACATTACTACATTATCATACTAGCATATCAAGTTCAAAAAACATTTCTAAAACTTTTTTGCGGTGTTGGCAGTGGTGGACCAATAGAACTTTGTAAAAAAAATGTTCCTGACATTGCTATTGATTATAATAGATTGTTATTCTGATAGACGTACGTCTTATTGGGAGGAAATAATACCAGATAATATAATACTCATAGAAATATTACATTTTAAATGTCGAATAAGAGGCGATTCCTACACATTCTACTACTAAGCAGGATATACTGTGTCTTGCCTGGAAGTCCTTGAGCTTCACTATATACTCATGCTCGATCTTTTTCAGTATTGCGATCTCGGTGAGTAGGTTATCGGTTGATGTCTTCGTTAGGCTGCTCTTCCGCACACATTTTATGGCAACAACCTCGCGTGTCTGCCCCTACACAGAATGACGAAGCATACGATTCGCAATATCATTAGCAGAATAAACTTGTGTTTGTGGATCCAGATGAAACTTTACTGAATATCTAAATCATGAATTGCTGCAAATAATAACTAACATCCATCTTCATATAATAAATGCCTACTTTCTCGTTTTTACACATATCACTGTTCACACATCATACTCTGCTTCTTTTTTTTACCAAAAGTGAAAAGAAATAAATCAAAGTCATTGCAGTTTTTTGCAGTAGAGTTGTTTTTCTGCTGCAATCCGCAATGTTGATCTGCCTATTTCATCAGTTTTGTTTCTCACCGTCTTCTTAGGCCCCCTCGACTTTGAAGACTTTTCATTATGAGGACTGAAACTTCATTATTCAATAATTCATATAATTATTCTGACTGACAATGTCACAACTACGTCACAAGTAATGCCTAGGCTAATGTAATGGCTAATGCCAGAAATGGTCTACATGCAACTAGGTAAAATACCAGTTTACACTATTTACTACAAAACACTAACCACTCTATACGCTTTGTACACTGTAGCATAGGTACCACTTCCGAGTTTTTCAGTAAGAACAAAACCCGGCACTTTAGGTGGAGGCAAAACATTCGTACTCATCTTCAGCCATTTGTTTACAAGGTCTAACTTTACCCTATAACAAAAATATTTTAGGTACGACTACACCTCATAGACGAGGCGCGCCTTTGCATCAGGGTACGCACCGGAAAGACTGTGCTCTTGTCAGAGGTCAAAATGTAAACAGAATTTACCGAAATAGATTTAGTTGTTGCGTTGTGCTTTTACGCTTACTATTTACATGATTATGTCAAATACTAACACTTAAGTTTGCCGATTGTTTTCAGATTTCCACTGTAACGTGGTCAGGCAGTGGACGAAGGCGCATGAGTACTTACACATGTACGTAACTTGATTTTCGATCCATGACCATAAATGATATTGATAATGTCAATGATAATCATGATGACATTGTAATTTGTGGCGCTGTTGAGTCAATTGAGTGTTGTAATCACAGCCCCAATCTCAGGCACTTGGGACAGAGTCAGTAAAAACTGAAAATAGTATTGAACGCACATTCACAAATACTACCGTACCTCTCAATTACAGTTCCACTGTTGTGTCACTGTATATCAACTTTCCTTCATAAAAACTAACGCCGAACGCTCCTGCACTTGCCGCTGCGAGTGTGCTGTGTCGCCATTATAATGATAATATTAATATATATATATATCAGAGATATATTATAGATCCGAACCTAAATTTTACTTTAACCGCCAACCGCCATGTTTCCACTGCGCATGCGTTTCGATCGGAACGCGGAAAACCCGAAACGACATAACATACCATAGCGTTGCAACTCGCGTTGGCGCGAGCATAAATAAGCATCATATACTCTTATATATATAAATATTAAAACATTGAAAACCAGGAAACATCAATCTACAACAACTTAATAATTATCATTGCGAAGATATGTACTTGCCTTGTGTTTAGGCCTACGCACTGTGAAAATCAGGTCCATTGCCGATTTTAGTCGCACCGGACATGGCGGCTGTCTGGTTGTTTTCATCCAATTCATCTCAGAAAATACGGCATAACTCAATAAATAAGTAGCGCCCAATTACCGCGAGCAAGCCAGAGGTTTATAGATTCGTTTGAGCTATTACATGTGACTCTAGCTGTGGCGATGTTTGGATACCGAGCCAACTACAAGTTTTTATGGGCAAGAATTTGAAACGGTCTTCTAACCCTAGCAAAGACCGTTTCTTGGAGCTAGGTAACAATGTAACTGGTCTAAAGTTTACGAGCCGTATTGCGTATAATTGCAGGGGCGTTCACCGCTCGAACAGCGAAACGATGGCGACCGGAAAAGTCGTCGACGAGGTCTTCGCCGACTGGACTTACACGCCGCCGCCGCCGCCGGCAAGCACCAGAACATCCGACGGCGACCGATGGCAGTACCTCACCGATGACGTACTGATGCAGATATTCAAGCACCTCTGCGCGAGAGACCTTCTCCGCTGCGGCGCCACGTGTCGCCACTGGCTGCGCGTCGCGTACGACGAACTCCTCTGGAAGGACCTACTCTACCGCAACTGGAAGATCGACCGCGGCGTCGCCATGGCGCCGGGGAAAACGTCGTGGCTGAGTGAGTACCGGCGGCTGCGCTACCACGCGCCGGCGGTCGAATCGGAGGTCCTTCGCGCGCACACCGATCAAGTCCTTCACGTGACGTTCTCGCGGGACGGCCGCCGATTCGCGACCTGCTCCAAGGACGGCTTCGTGAAGCTGTGGGACGCGACGCCGCCCCCCGCTCGCGTCCGCCACAGCCGCGACATGAAGGCCTACTGCTGGAAGTACACGCAGTTCTCGCAGTTCAACGACGCTGACACGAAGCTCCTCGTCTCCGGCGTTCACTTCGGCTCGCACAGCACGTCGGGCGAGATCGCCGTGTTTTCGGTCGCCGACGGCGACGACTTCGAGCTGCAGTGCCGCGTCATCAACCGTCCGTACGACATCTTCGGAGCGTGGTTCAACGACGAGTACCTGCTCTCGGGGAACCTGCACTGGCTCGGCCACGTCGCGTCCTGCTCGGCCCTGTGGCTGAACCGCGCATCGCAGGCACCCGAGTCGGAGTGGGAGTGCGTCGTCAAGCGACTCTACAAGTTCTTCAACGTCAACGCGAGCTCGATACGCACCATCATGGTCGCCACGCCGCCGGAGATGGACGAAAGCGTGACGGCGGAGCGGGAGGAGGAGGAGGAGGGGATGTCCGTCGCGGAGGCTGCCGCGCGGACGGCCGTCGTCGAGGGCGGGCCGCGACGGCGCCCCCTGGCGGAGGACGCGGCGGCGAGCGAGGCCGAGGTACGGGAGGACCAGATGAGCGACACGATCGAGTACGACTCTGATTACCGGCTCGCAGAGAGCGCCGGCGTCGCCGCGGCGACGGGCGATGCGGAGGGTGTTGCCGCGGCGACGGGCAATGTGGAGGACGCGGACATGCCGCCGGCGCTCGACGCTCGCGACAAGATCCTGATCTTCACGACGGGTTCGGAGACGTACACGCCGCACCAGGTCGGCTTCAAGCTGCTGCGCGGCGTGCGCATGGGCAAGACGCACGCGTGCAGCGTCTCCGAGCGAGGCGTGCGCCTGCTACCGAACGACGGCGACGAGCACGGTCGCCACGACGACCGCGTCTTCGACGACGTCGACCGCCTCGTCGACCTGCACGGACACATCATCGGCATGGCGCTGTCGCCCGACCACCGCTTCCTTTACGTGAACGTGCGCCGCTGGCCCGAGGGCTACGTCGTCGAAAACCCGCTCGATCCGCCGCCGATCGCGCAGGAGATCGACATCAGCGTGATCGACCTGCGCACGCTGCGTCGCGTCGGAACGACGCACCGCGCGCACAAGGCGTACACGCCGAACAACGAGTGCTTCTTCATCTTCCTCGACGTGTGCGGAGAGTTCGTCGCGAGCGGGGCGGAGAATCGCTGCGGCTACGCGTGGGACCGGCACTACGGCGTCTGCGTCGGCCGCTTCCCGCACACCGACGTCGTGAACTGCGTCGCGTTCAGCCCCGCGGACAGCGAGGTGCTGCTGACGGCTAGCGACGACGCGCTCGTGAAGGTGTGGCGCTCGCGCAATCGCCAGCGCGAGGTGCAAGAGGAGGCGGCAGCGCGGGGAGAGGGGGAGGAGGCACGGGGGGAGGAGGGAGAGTCGTTGGTAGTGCGGGAGGGTGAAGATACCCATTAGTGGAGTGTAAGGAGGAGGAGGCGGCGGCACGGGGAGGAGGGAGAGTCGTTAGTAGTGCGGGAGGGTGAAGATACCCATTAGTGGAGTGTAAGGAGGAGGAGGCGGCGGCGCGCGGGGGAGGGAGGAGGGAGAGGTGGTAGTGCGGGAGGGTGAAGATACCCATTAGTGGAGGGAGCACCGAGATGCGAGACTTCTGGTAGCGGAGTGTAGGTGCGAGAGGCAGAGGAGGAGGCGCAGGGCGAGGGGGAGGAGGGAGAGCCGAGACGTGAGGCTCCCGTTAGCGGGGAGTTTAGGTGAGAGAGGCGGCCGTCTGCGGAGAAATCAGCGGAAGTGCGAGGGGAGGAGGAGCCGCGGCGGCGCAGGAGATGGAGGGAGGAGGAGGCGAGGGTGGGAGGGTCGTTAGCGCAGGAAGGCGAAGATGCCCGTTAGAGTAGTGAGTGTAGGTGCGTGAGGCAGTGACGGCGGTGCGCGATCGCGGAGGGTGGGTAGTGCTGCGATGTGAGATGCCCACTAGCGTAGTGTAGGCACGTGTTTGCTCTCTGCCGTTGCACACGCACGCATGCTGACGTGGACGAGCGTTTAACGTAGCCGTTGAGATTCTTTTCCTCTGATAGGCTGATAGTATCAAAAGCGTATAAAGAAGGTATCTTTATTTATACGCTCTTTATAGTATCTATCACATCATATATGCAATCACTGTATCATACCAACAACATACATGCCCGTATCTAATGTCATCCTGTGTGAGCACGCACGTATACATGCATACGTGTATACGCATGCATAAACATGCAACCAGGACTGACATAATATAGCCAGGACTGAATAATAATAGAGATAACAGAATAGAATATAATAGAATATAATCTGTTATTATTCACTCCTGATATAGATAGATCCACGTAACCTCACTGTCGCCGAGTTTACTCTGGGATATTTACCTCTGATGCTATATATATATGATGTTCGTATAGGGAATTAAATAGGTACATGGCTGTATCAAAGTTAACATGTGCATACTCATTGCTTTTGATACGAGTGCAAAGGAGGTACTTGAAAACCTTTGGTGTATCGTATGTTTGAACACATCTGTACATAGTTGAGCATCATTGCGCATAGATGCAAGTTCTCGTTTTAAACCATCTTCCTGTCAGTTTGCCAAAGAATACTGAATACAGTGAGTGTGGTAATAGCTATACATACGTTTTGCTGTGATAACTTATGTAAGTTAAAAATACCGAGCGATATTTTATAGGTTGGATTGTATAAATCGGTCCCCACTGCTTGTACATATATATACGTACTGTTTTGACCGCAACAATTGCGCGTCGTTTAGGATTATAACAGGAGCGAATATAAAACAAATTTGTTTTTATTCACTCCTGATGATATATGCATAGATAGATAGCGTTAGCATCTCGCTCAAATGAATAGTACTGGGGTAACACCATGTGCTGCACTGGTGGCCTGTCACAGTGCAATCGGCTGTTAATATGGGAGTATGAACGTGTGGGTGTTAAAGGTCAAATGCATTACGTCACCTGTCTACATACAAATAGAAACCAACCAATGCACGTCTTCAGAGAACGATTTATTTATAATTATATCAGAGGTAGGATGATAAGGAATTATCATTATTTCTGTTTGTTAGAGCCCCACAAATCATTTCAAAAATCTTCCTTGCTGACAAAATTTCACAAACTGTGCGCCACCATGCACCGTGTAAAGATGCAAGGTAAAACGGCAAGCGTCCCATCTGTTCAGGAGTCTATCAATATAGACTATATTGATAGACTCCTGATCTGTTGTGGCTAACGTTGTTTCCACACAGAAACAATTAAAGAGCTTAATCATAAAAATGTGAGATTTTGGGCCATTAACAGAGATAATGATTTCTCATTGGTGTGTTAACACTGCTTCACCCTTTCCCTGCCACGAATGTTTCGAAGCATCTAGGTTTTAACAGACTCCTAATATTGGGGTATAGTCATAATATTGAGACATGACAGGCAGGTACACAGATGGGTTTGTTTACAGGGTCGCTGTGTTGTATGCAGTTCTAAACTTCTGCACATAAATCGCCACGCAAACTGTTTTGTTGTTCCCAGTGTATAAACGACAGTTTGCTATAACCGAGCGATCGAATGATTGGTGTTGCATATTAAAATAAATGTTTACACTGTTACTAAAACACTGCGTATGTTACTCTTGCATTGGTTCTCACCTTGATTATTGTATAATATAGCTAAGAACAATCGACAAATTATATGCAAATCTTAAACATACAGTCATGTATGTTAGAGTATGTCAAGTATGTCACCTGTGTTAGCACTAGCCTCTATATAACAGAGACCTGCCTTTAAAGGACACTGTTCGCACTTCCCTTGAACGACAGTTACACAGCGAAACCACCTCTATAGAACAGACACCTGTCTGTAAAGGCCATTTTTGGCATTTTCCTTTGCTTGACCCTTATAAACAGGTTTGACGGTACACGATATGTAGAAATGGCGCACGTGATCCTCTGTAAGAGATCGTAACGCGTTGATCACGTTATTTCGGCGCGGCACCAACCTCAGAGTCCGTCACCTCCGAATCCTCGGTCGAAAACTCCAACACCAAGTTGAGGGTTTCCTCTTCGTCCTCGACAGTGTCCACGTTTCTCACGGCACCTCCTTGCCGCGTGCCTCCCTCGCTTTCCATTGTCATCGCAGAAGCAGCAGGGTCAGCACTACCTGCTGTTACTTCTACCGCAGCAGCACTGAGAACGGCTCCTTCTTCTTCTTCTTCTTCGTCTTCTTCCATGTAGTCGTTAAAGTCGCTGCTCGTTTGCGCAGCCGATTTCCATTTGTTTTCAGCACAGTTTGCGTTGTTTACTTCCATCGCAGCAGCACTGAGAGCAGCTACTCCTTCTCCTGCAGCCACTGCTACTCCAGCGTCCGTGCGGCCGCTACCGTCGTTACCCGTCCGTCCAGCGTCCGCTTCTGCCGCGCGGACGTCCGGTGAGGCGACGCGGGGAGCGTCAGCCGATGGTGGCCGATCGTCGCTGGCCAGGTCGCGACCCGACTCGACCTCGGCATCGCCGCTCTCGCGATCTAACGCGCGTTTCGCGTCGTCGGCCGCGTCTGGAATCGGCGCGGGTCCGCGCGCCTCCTCGTGGCAACCCTCGCTAACGTCCGTGTCTCCGTCAGGGGGCAGCACCGTCGGCCGCGGCGCGACGTCCGCTGAACCACTTTCCGTTTCGGAGAGCCGCGCCGACGCAGCTTCCGGAGCCGGAGTCTCCGCGGCGGCTTCGTCCGTTTCCATGGCGTCGCACATCATCTGCAGCATCTCATCCTCGTTCAGCATTCGGTCGTCGTCGTCGGCAACGGCGGCGCGATTGTCGTTCCGCTCGTTTGTCTCGCCAGGTGGCGCTTCCCGGAGCGGGGGAGAGGCGGAGCTGCTGGGAACGTCTTTATCCGCGGCGTCGGTCGTTGGTCGATCGTGCAGCGAGCGATCGAAGGTGGCGCGTTCACCGTGGCTCCTCGCCTGCCTTTTCTCCATTGCTCTTCTTTTGTTCGCCTCGATTCTGCTCAGCTGTTCGCTGCTCAGCGCCTGTCGTAGAGATAAAACTTGTTTATTAAAATTAAAAATTAAAAATTATTTATTCGTGTCTTGGTGGAAATATACCACGAAAAAACACGAAATAACATCAAATGTAATACTGGAATCGTAGATATTGTGAACTTCCGTGGCACCAACTGGATATGAGCATACTCCCAAAACTATATTATTATTGCAAATAAAGCTGACATTATGTAATGATGCATTAATATTTCAATAAAAGCGACAAACATGTATTAACTTTCCGTTTTAAAAACAATTAAAGGTCAGGAATCTATTAATAACTTGAACTACCTACCATGGTGTCAGTCAACACAGCTCGATTTTCAGGAGAAGCAAAGAATGCTGCAGTCTCGCTTTCTATACTGCTCTCACCATGATGATGCTGGAAAATGTTAAATTGACTACGTCACGAATTTTCTATGGTGTATATTTGTAAAAAAATTTGTTGCCATTTTTTACATTAAAAGCAAGTACTAACGAGACTAAATATATCGTCAAATTCTTACCTGCTAAGATTGTTACTCAACTAGTTAAAAATCCAAAAAAGCTGAACGATTTAATATTATATGATCCTGACATTAATTGCTTGCTATGGGCTATGTAGGAGTCACGAGTGTATGTTTACATCGAACAATATAGTAAATCGGAAGTATAATGCAGCAATTTAACCATAAAAAGTAATGTAACACACAGAATAAACAGAATTACTTGCATTTTTTGAAAAACTGGAAATATTTGTTTAATTTTTTATTATTTACGGTGACGTAATCACTTTAACAACCATGTAAACTGAATAAAGAACCTCGCTAAATCCAAGTTAAGTTAAGTGCAAGTCTCATTTTCACTGGAAAATTTGCTCTCACAGTTATAGCCGTCCGTGGACCCATATATATATATTCCGAAACATGAAATAGCACTAGGAGGTTTGGTTGTGACCTCGATGCCAATTAGAATTTTCACAAAGGGCCACTAGATGGCAGCATATGATTATATTTTTGTATTATGTGTGTGCATGCGTTCGTGCATGCGTGAGTGTTCACGCTATAAGCAATACAGCTTCCTTAAAGTAGAAGCAATATCCTGCCTGACAGCTGTCAGAGCATTACCAAACTTAAGTAAAATTAATTAACATTACTAAAATTTAATTAAAATGAAATAAATTAAATTCTTTACTTAAATTTTCATCATCACTCAAAACTGAACGCTATTCGTGAATCTCACCTGCTGTCGTTTGTCTGCGACTAGCTCGTCGAATTCCTCTTCTTCGTCCATGATCTCGATCTCGTCGCGTGGAGGAGGAGGGCTGCTCGCAGCTTCCCCATCCCTTTCCTCATCCTCACCGCGCAGCACAAAGTCGTCGTCCAGTATCGGCATGTCCATGCGGATCTTCGACAGGCAAACCTGCACAACGGGAGCCGACGGAGATGGTGATACTAGAGCGATCACGACATTCGACGTCCGAGAGTAGAGCTTTTATTCTTTTTTTGTTTTGTTTAAGTTTGTAAGGCGATGAGAGCGTCGCTTCCAGTTTGATCAGATATTCTAGGGCACACAACTTTTTAAATACTTGCTCTTTCTCAATGCTTTACGTGTGAGACAGCGAAGGACCTGTGCACAACACGGAATTTATGGAAAGGGCACACGGAGACACACTGGGTAGAGCCGGTGGTTTACTACAGTGGACATCCTCCAATTTCCAGGAGCACCTTTAGAAAATAATGAGGGCAACCACGGTACTTGATCTCTGTGCCATGGTGAAATTCAAGCGCTAATAAGGAAAAAGTGCCCACGATTTTCGATAGTAGCTATAGACAGTATCATTACGATAGCAAATATTCGATAAGCATGTTTACGATATATATACATTATAAATATATGATAGCATTCGATAGCAGCTGTCGACAGTATCAAATGTTACGAGCTCGTGACGCAAATCAAGTCGCACCTGCACTGCTTTCTTTTTTCCGAGTGTCTCCAGCCTTTGTAGAAACTCATCGAACGGCATCTTCGGGAATAGTCGATGACCCCAGTGCTCCAGGCTTAGCATCAGTTTATTTAGATCGTCCACCTGTTAACAGGCAGCAAGCATAATGACGGCACTGACCGACGATGCATTCGTACCACCAAGTTTAAAGATGAAATCCGTCCGTAGCCGCAATACGTCATTCGTTTTCTTAACGATGGATCGTATCATTTACTCATTTATATTGCAATTAAACCTTGTCGGCAGAATCTCTATGTTCAATGTGGCAAAACCACGAAATGCTGTAACCATCAAAGAATGGTAAGTTTAAGACACGCCGATGTCGCAAGGCATAATATAGGTGAGTAAGAGCTCCAGTAAAGAACACCATGACTCAATCTGAATTAAACATAGATCTTGAAATGTCATTGGATTTAAATGCATGATATATAATATATATCATTTATTTAAATCCAATGACATTATACTATATATTATATAGTGTATAATGCAATTTTGAGATAAAGCCAAAATGTTTTTTGATGCAACAGCTTCGACAACTGATCTAATCGCTCACTTACCTCGTGACCCTTTCCTTTAAATTGCACATTTTTGAAAAGGTCAGTTAAAATTGGCAGCCCCCTGTCTCCGCATAACCTGAATTGAATAGAAAATGCAACTACATGATCGATAAAAACTAGAGGGTGGATTACGAAGGCAAACAAGCACAATAGGATTCAAATTGACAAATCTTATATATGCATCTATCACGTCTCTCATCTTCCCATCTTTGATATATAAATGTAGAATAATCATGTATAATACATATAATATAATAATGTATATTACATAATAACATATTATGGACTTATGTACCATCAGAGGACCAAGAGTATAAGAAAAGAAGAAGATAATAATGTACAATGATACATGTATAACGTGATAATTGTGTACTATATATAATATATGATAGTATACTAAGATTTGATGATATCTATGCAGATATCAGACGTACCGTGTTGGATCCAGCTTTGGTTGGGGTCTCAGTGTGCGCCTCACCTTTTTCTCATCAGCTTTGTTATCCATGTCTGGTGGCATAACACCATCATCACTAACTGCGCCATCTAAGTAAATGAACACAAACACACAATGTACATACACAAATATGGAAATTATAATTTATTAATTTTGTAATGTGAGAAATAGTTTCAAAGTTGCAGCAGGTGAATAACGAAATACTGCAGACAATGCAAGTGATATGTGAAGAAAACACACTCAAATACACAGGTTGTTTGCTCGTGCTGCCTATTTACCTTTGAATTTATTTCAATCACATTAATTGAAAATTAAGGCAAATTCCTTTACTTTCTAATTTCAAACTGAAGTAGGATTCGTTTCGCTTATTACTTCACAGGTTCGATTGCGAGACTGCATCTCAGACCCTTGCTTCCTCAAATATCGTGAGTACACCAAAAATTCAGTGACGATGAACAATACCTTGTTGTACTCGAATATCTCCTTGATCCATGTCTCCATTTAGCTGTGCAGTAGCAACAATATCATCTCCAATGTCATCACCAAAGAGGTCGTCCATTTCAAGGTCGATTGACTGCATCATTTTGCTCCGTCTTCCTTAAAATAAGTATAACGACGAACAGTCTGCGAAATTAACCACTGGCCCGGTATCCGAGGCCAGTAAATTTTCCGTGGGGCCAATGAAACTGGTAAATGAACAAGCCCGATGGGCAAGTGGGAAAAAAATGGAGTAAATGGTCTATTTTAATGATATTTCAGCTTCTTTATGTGACGATCAGTCCGAGAATTTACCAAAATTAATGATATTTTGTATGAAAATTTACCGATAAGGCATCATATTCCCGATCTTAAGTAGGGGAAGTAAATAACTAGTCAACACCATGCGTGTTTGCCACCGCTAGAGCTATAGTCGGAATAGCTCTAGTACTATAGTCGGAACAACTTCCGGTTTCCGGTTCTGGTTTGCAACGTGGCCTTGAACGTGTTGGCCAAGTTACTGTTCGAAGTCGAAATGAGCTTTCTGATGATGATGAGTACGATGGCAGTGACAATGAGATGGGGAAGAGGAAAGTGAATACTTTTTTGTTCAATTTCATGAAAGAATAAATCTCTAAGAATACGTACACCAAAGGCAAAGAGTTCTGTTTTTCTTTTCATAATATGATGATCATTGATTCGGGCCTGTAAAACCTAGTGTGGGCCAGTGAATTCTACATTTCACTGACACAGGCCCCCTGGGCCAATGAGGGTGGAAGTTTTTCATGCAGACTGTGTGAAGGTGTGAAATGAAGCTAGCGTACAACGAATTTCGCGATCACGCTTTCCTACCTGCTCTCTTATTCATGTTGTTTGTGCACATGGCGGGCGTGCGATGTACAGGTTGGTCGCCGGGCAGACATTACTCCCAACCTCGACTCCGTTACTCCAACCTAACCCTAATTAAATTTAATTAACACTAATACATTTAATTAAAAAAAAAAAATCACCTCTCGCAGGTTAACGCAAGGCGCGATACCAGAGATTTCATATGGCCGGTGCAGGGAGTAATGACTATAATGTCTCCCTTGTGTAAAAATCGCGATGTACTTGTGTTAATTGCAAGTGAGCATTTGACCGGCATTTACAGGTGATTATAGGCGAAATAGAGTAGAGAAACATTAAGACTTTGGTAGTAAATACATTTCGTGTTTATTTCCCTTTTTTTATTTTATTGAGACGTTCCAAGTGCCTGTGCCTGTGGCTGTGCCTGTGGTCCTAAACCGACCAGGCTCTCCGACTAGTTACACGGCGGAGGACGTATCGGCGTCCTCTCGCCACGTAGTGTTAAGCGAGATGGGAACTTGTGGCTACTGTGGTCCCTACTTGGTCCCTACCTGCTACCAATGTACCATAATTGAAACGTTCCAACTCCAAAGTTCCGTGTACTAACCGCGTTCGCACGGCTAAAGTATATAGCACTAGAGTTATAGCTAGTATTTAGTAAGTAAATATACAACTATATTTTATGAATACATTAAATAAACATTAGTATTATTACTAACCAACTAGTAGTAGTAAAATGTCTTTTTAAGTGTTGTCACTTGTCAGAGAATTTCCCGCGTTATACTGTGGCGACATCTGTCAGCTGTAAAAAGACGGGGAACCAGTCTATACAGACGGAACAAATATGGCAGCCCCCAATAAATGTTTCGAAGTCCGTGTCTTGCCCGATAAGGTGATTATTTACGTTTTTCAGTTAAGCCTCTGAGTTTACAGCAGTCATACACGATTCCATTTTGTATAGGGAGCTAAGATACCTTGTTACAGTAATGTGATTGAGTAGGAACATTTCTGCTAGGAATAAATACAGTCAGTACCCGTCTCAGTGCGTGCATGTTATAACTTGTTCAGTTGTTGTTGACAATGTTGTGATGGCCAGTGTGAGAGTTTAGAATGATATCAATCTAATTAATTATCATTTTCCTTCTTTTACATCAAAATAATGCATCGCTTTTCTGCAGGGTCGCTGTCTGTTTGCTACCCATGACATACGCGAGGGCGAACATATATTTGAAGAGGAACCTATCGCGAGTTGTCAGTTTTTGTGGAATGCATTCTATCAGTATCGAGCGTGTGACCACTGCATGAAGCCTTTAGAAACGGCTGAACAGAACGCACGACGTTTAACAGCGAACCCAGAGCTAACAGTGCCTCATGCCGACATTTGTACAGTGGAAACAGCTAAGCACGTTGCGTGTCAACGTTGCCAGGTAGGCAGGTACATGCAGTATGTCACACACTTATATTTGAATTCATGGCAATATTAAACATATAAAATAGGCAGTTTCAACGCGAATTTAATTCATTGCTGAGACATGGATTAACTGAAATGTTAACTAACTGTTACAGGTACAATACTGTTCGAAAGAATGCAAAGAGAAAGCATGGAGGTTGTATCACCGTATACTCTGCAAAATAGAATCAGTTGATGATCCATCCCATCCTCTCATAGTGCTGAAGGAATCATGGAGGCAAGTTTTGTCCCTTCCCCCCCCCCCACACACACACACAACATGAACAGTAAATTAATTATGGCAATTCCTCTCGATGCTTAAATGCCAAATTTATTTGTATAAAATTGGCGAAACAGTAGAGAATCCATGCTCTGTCACAGATATGTACCCTTTATAGTTCCCAACTCTATTCCCAACTCTCCCTTTTTTCCTATACCTCCCCCTTTCTTTCTTTCTATATTTCTCCTGTCTCTCTCTCTCTCTCTCTCTCTCTCTCTCTACGATCTCGCACG